TACACCTTTGGGCCAATAACAGTTTGCTGTCCTTGTGACTTATAAACAAGAATACTATTAAAATCTTCAGACTTCAACTTTTGAACAAGTAAAAAAGTTGAAACGCTATCATCAGGGTGAAGCCGACATCCTTTTTTTACTGCTCTGCTGATATCAGAAATGTTATTTTTTGTAAGAAGATGTGATTTAGTTAAAACAGTATCTTCATCATTTCTATTTTGTCTGTCTCCAAAACTTTCTCTAAGATCACGATAAACTGTATTTACAGGCACACCTATTGATAATTTAGCGGAAATGTTTTTTTTAATATTACCTGGTATAGGTTGATACATGGTATTTGTAATACCAATACTGTGGTTATGAGTTTTGATATACTGAACATTAGTGACACCATTTATGTTTACTTTGACAATCATCCTGGCAGGGCAGAAAGCACCTGATTTAACACTCCCTCTGTAGTACCTTTTATTAGTTTTTCTTGCTGGTTCACTAACAGAGCGATGCGGTTTTGAATGACCATCATTTTGACAAATATAATAACTTGTTTTTACATCTTTATTTATATTTTTTCCAGTGAAAAAACTACCAGTTTGTTTACTGAAAAAAACATAACTATTAAGTTCCTCTTTTTCAGATTCTGATAAAAAAATGTAAGATTCTTTGGTAAATATACCTTCATGACAATCCTCTATGTGTTTAATAAGTTTGACGTTTTGAAAAAATACTTGGCTGCAGTTTTGATAATGACATGGCGTTCTTTTATCTTTGGATTGATTATCTCTAAAAATGGTTTTATGTGCCTGTAATGCATGTCTTTTCATGTTATCTTTTCTTGTAAACGACATCATACAAGCAGAACACATAAAACTAAAAACAACAACTTTTAGTTAGGACTTTAGTTACTTATTGATATAAATTAGGTATTTTACCTAGGTTTCTTTAACTGAATTTCTGTTAAACTAGTTGATGGATTGATTGATGACAATGCTGAAAAAAAACTGATGTAAATTGATTTCCTTTAAAATCTAACTTATCTAGTTTAAACCTTTAAAAAAAAAGATTCTTATAAATAAGAGAGGAGATTTACTCTTTTAATTAAAACTTGAAAAAAGTAAAACTTATTCTTACAACAAAAACTTTATAAAGGGGAGAATTACTCTCACCACAGAACACTGCCAAATAGGTTTACTTTATCAATAAAATTATTCTTTTTGATTATTTAATTTAAAAAAAAGGGGAGAATTACTTTCATTTGAAAAAAAAAACTTAAGAGTGGAGATTTATTCTTAAAAAAAACTTGAAAAAAGTAAAACTTATTCTTACAACAAAAACTTTAAAAAGGGGAGAATTACTCTCATCACAGAACACCGCCAAATAGGTTCACTTTATCAATAAAATTATTCTTTTTGATAACTTAATTTTGAAAAGGGAAGAATTACTCTCATCTGAAAAAAAAAAACTTAAGAGAGGAGATTTACTCTTTTAAATAAAACTTGATCAAGTTTTGTCAATTTTGTCAATTGAACAAAAGTAAAACTTACTCTTACAACAAAAACTTTAAAATAGGGAGAATTACTCTCACCACAGACTACCGCCAAATATATTCACTTTATCAATAAAGTTATTCTTTTTGATTATTTAATTTTGAAAAGGGGAGAATTACTCTCATATGAAAAAAAAAACTTAAGAGAGGAGATTTACTCTTTTAAATAAAACTTGAAAAAATTAAAACTTATTCTTACAACAAAAACTTTAAAAAGGGGAGAATTACTCTCACCACAGACCACCACCAAATATGTTCACTTTATCAATAAAGTTATTCTTTTTGATTATTTAATTTTGAAAAGGGGAGAATTACTCTCATATGAAAAAAAAAACTTAAGAGTGGAGATTTACTCTTTTAAATAAAACTTGAAAAAATTAAAACTTATTCTTACAACAAAAACTTTAAAAAGGGGAGAATTACTCTCACCACAGACCACCGCCAAATATGTTCACTTTATCAATAAAGTTATTCTTTTTGATTATTTAATTTTGAAAAGGGGAGAATTACTCTCATATGAAAAAAAAAACTTAAGAGAGAATATTTACTTTTAATGAGACTTACTCTCTCTAGAGAGAGTAAGTCTCATTAAAAGTAAATATTCTCTCTTAAGTTTTTTTTCAAAGAGAGCTCTCCATCGATATAACATAACATTTACTTTTAATGAGACTTACTCTCTCTAGAGAGAGTAAGTCTCATTAAAAGTAAATATTCTCTCCTAAGTTTTTATTCAAAGAGAGCTCTCCATCGATATAACATAAGAACTCAAAAAACTAAAAACCCTACCTTTATTAGGATTTCTTTCTGTAGCATTAACAGATGATAACTTGACACTAAGCTTGTTAAACATATCTTTGTTTAATTTTACAATAAGTTAATTTACTTTTATAACACCAGGAACTTCAGAACTTTATTATTCACGACGTAGCGACATGCGACAAATGTTATGCAGGTCAAAATACGGGCTAATGTTTCCGTCGGGAGTATTTCTCCCCAACGTAAAATTCAAATAATAGTCTTAAAATAATCAACCAAAACAAGTAGACATTTAAATAACCGAGTTTGCGCATAATATTGTATGCGCCAAGTTGATAGTATTAATTTTTTTCTTATTTTGAAGGTAATTAGGACGTCTTATGTAGGTCTTAGCGACGTCAATAGGACGTCTAAATATTGAAGTCCTGATATCGTCTTTATATAACGTCACAAGGACGTCCTAACAAAGACGTCTTTACCAGACGTCTTTAGGACGTCCTAAGTTGGTCTGAGACGTCGCGACCTAGTTAAGACGTCCGTAAGACGTTTGATTCACCTCTGTGCCCGCTGGGTTATGAGTATAAATTTTGCGGACGATACTAATTTATTTCTATCAAACAGTAGCATTTATGAGCTTTTTTCAAATATGAATAATGAACTCAATCAGATCTCCAACTGGTTTAAGTGCAACAAGTTAACTTTAAACATTGACAAAACAAAGTGGATCCTTTTCCACTCTCTTGCTAAAAAGCGTTTTTTACCAAATAAATTGCCTAAACTTTTTATTGATAAAATTGAAATAAAAGAGTCGGTCACAAGATTTTTAGGCATTTACATTGATGAAAATATTACATGGAAGTATCATATCGACTATATTTCTACTAAATTGGCTAAAAGTATTGGAATTCTATATAAGGTCAGATACTATCTAAGTAAACAAAATTTAATTCAACTCTACTACTCGTTTATTCATAGCTATATAAATTATGCAAATATTGTTTGGGGAAGTACCTCTAAAAGTAAGTTACGAAGTCTTTACCATCGTCAGAAACACGCAATGCGTTTAATATGTTTCGAAAATCGTTTTTCTCATTCAAATATTTTATTTAAAAACGTTAAAGCACTTAACGTTTACGAACTCAATGTCTATAATATTTTATGTTTTATGTTTCGTTGTAAAAGTGAACGACCATTGTCCAATTTCAAAGATCTTTTTACTTATAAAGCTATAAACAAATATGCTTTACGAAATAATAATTTATTAATTGAACCCTTTTGTCAAACAAAGTTTAATCAATTTTGCATAAACTATAGAGCACCGTATTTATGGAACAAAATTGTTGTTCCAAATTTTGATTTGTCAATTTCGTTTTCCGTTTTTAAAACTAAATTAAAAAACTATATTCTTTCTACTGGCAATATATATAAATATTTTTGAAATGTAAAATTCTTTTTTTTTACTCTGGATAATTTGTAAAATTATTTTCAGTTTTTGTTTCTTCTACATTGTTATTAGTTATTTGATCAATTGTATTTTATTTTATTATATATACACGTATTATATCTTTTATATGGTTGTGGCGACAAGATCATTTGGATCTTCTTTCAGATACCAAGTTTATATATTGTTATATTGTTATATTACGATTAATAATTGTAAACTGAAAAAAAAAAAAAAAAAAAAAAAGAGAATGTAAAAATATAAGGAAGCACCAAGACGGCTGAACGAATGGCTTTTTCCAAAGAAAGATGTGAAATGTTGAATAATAATTTGAGTGAAGTTGCTTGCCTAAATTTTTACTTTATTAAGATTTAGGTAAGCAACTTCACTCAAACTATCGTCAACAATTTTACTTGCTCCAAGCCCTAAATATGTGGCTACGCCACTGCTCAAAGCTTTTTTTTTATTCACTTGGCCTATGTACTTCATAGAATTGAAAAAAAAAAATCTTTTCAACTTATTGTGGTATGTCTTTTGTACTTAGTGGAAGTTTGTATACTTTTTGTTACTAAGTACCGTTTGAAATAACAAAGTATTCTTTCTATTTATTGGAAAATCATGATACACATACGACTTTTAAAAGAAAATAAAGTGTTTATGGTTTTATATTGCATTAGAGTTTGACTGCTAACAAAAAGTTTCTCGGCCCTGTCTACAGACAGGGAATCGTTTAACGGAAAACCTTTCCAATAATTGATTTCAATACATTTTTAATAATTAATTACATAAATAATCAATTACATTATCTAAAAAAGAAATTAGACAATAAAGAACATTTATTATTGTAAACAACATATTCAAATAAATTAGCAGTGCCACATTAAAATAAAAAATTAAAAAAACGTTTACTTCATTTTTTATACCATCATCAGTGAATTAAGCTTAGTTTCCAATTATCTTTTATCGGGTAATGATTATCTGTTTATTGGTTATTGTGTAAACTTTATTATTAAAAACTTAATACAAAGTATTTATAAATTTTTTTATTTTATTTTTTTTGACTTGTTGTCACAGTAAATTTAGCTCCTAAAAAAATTGGTGTTGTCCCATAATTTGCCAAAGTTATGTAACTTTACCAAATTAGGTTTATTTACATCAGTTTTTTTTTACTTTGCATTTAGTAATACAAAGTTTGGAAGGAGTAGTGATTAAAGAGCATTAGAGAGAAAGGTAAAGAATCAGGTCATTTTTTATTCAAAATTTTGACTTTTTTTGTAAAAATAAACCATTGCTAAATATATTATTAAGAATAGATTGGCTAGGACTGCTGGGAGCACCTTTATAACCACACGCACACCCACGCACACACACACACACACACACACACTCCTCCTTAATACCTCCTTACCTCCTCCTTACCACCTATTTACCTCATTTTAATCTCCTTGCCTTTTCCTTACCTCCTTACCTCTTATTGTTTTTAATACAAAAAATGGGATAATTTTAATAATGGAAAAAGAAATTGATTAATAACATGTGATAAATAAAAAACCTGGACAAAATTAAAAGTTGTATAAATTTTTAATGGAATGATCAATTTTATTAAATTAAAAAGTATAGTAACTAAAAAAGTATAAAAATTAAAGTTATTTAAAAATTTCACTACATTACTACAAGCAGCGCTCACTCTTATTTATATTGCGGCAGCTAGCCGATGTACCCGTTTTATGTCGTTTTTCTTGATTGAAAACTTGATCAATTTTATGTTTATCTATATTTCATCTTGCTAATTTTAATGTACATATTCTTTTAAGTTGATACCAAAAATATTTAATTGGTCGTAATTCTGGCACATCAGCTGGGATATAATTTTTAACCCAGCTAATGTGCAGAAGCAAGATCAGGCCAAAAAATGATATTGTCATTTTTATGGCAGTAAAGCTGGGAAACTTTCTTTGTCGAAAATACAATCCAAACGAGTATTTACCTTTAGTTAATTTTTCTTTTTAACTTAATATTGTTTAATGCTGTATATATGTCAAAAAAAAAAAAAAAAAAAAAACCGAGTCCAGTGTTTCCAGAATTATCGGTGTTGTTCAAATAAAAATAGAGGTAATCTCAATATGTTATATAAGTAAGTACTTAACTAAAATTAAAAAAAAAAGCTTTTAAATTTTTTTAAATTTTGAAAAGTTTTATGAAACAGCTTTAAGTAAATATAATCTGATTATATACATTATTAGCATTTCTTGCTGGCTTTATTCATGCCAAATCTTCAGTTTGTAACTGCTTTTGTTATTCTACAAGAATG